GACCCACAGGTTGAGAACCGCTGTTCTATAGTAATAGGTACTGGTACAGAGGGGATCCTTGAACCTTGTAAAAACATATGAGACTTGTAGTATATGTGCGAGAGATATTTGTGTTTCTTGACTCATCATTTATCGAGCATTTACTGTGAATAAGGGTGCCCTTAAGAGAGGGTCCAGTTCCCGCATTGGCTCCACTTGTCATCTCCCGGTGGCCATGGTTCATCTTCTGACACAGCGTTACTACTTACTATTGCTGCCATAAACTCAGCGGCATAAACAGCACAAGTGTATGAATTACCCTGTAGTCCTGTGGGTCGGGAGCCTGATACGGGTCTTGGCAGGCTAAACTCAAGGGGAAGGACGCGTTCCTTTGTGTGAGCTCTGTGTGGGATCCGTTCCCTTGCCCGTGGCAGCTTTTTGAGGCCGCCTGCTTTCCTTGGCGTGTGGCCCTTTTCTCCTTCTATTTCACAGCCAGCAAAGGTGCATTGAGTTTTTTCTCACATCACATCACTCTGGCCCTCTCCTGTGCGTTCTTCCCCGACTTCTCAGAACCTTTTTGATCATATTGATCTCACCCAGATACTCCAGGATAATTCCTCAATTTCAAGGTCATCTGCTTAGTAACCTTAATTCCATCTGCAATCTCAATTCCCCTTTGCCATGCGAGGAAATGTATCCGCAAGTTCCAGGTATTAGAACAAGGACATCTTTGGGGGGTGAGGGACATTATTCTGCCTATAACACATTAATAAATTCTGCCACTGTCCAATGTGCACTTACTGTTTACTATTTGGGGGTGTTAAGTGTAATGGTACTTGCATTTGAACCTACACCTGTGTGTAAGGAGAAGAATTTTCAAAAGAAACGGGTTGGGTTGCCCGTACCAGCCTTGGACCAAACCACACGCCCCGGGGCCGGGTTGCCATTCGGAACTCAGGAGCTTTGTGTAATGTGATAAGTCACCTACCGCTAACCTGTTCAGAACCTCAGCACAGGGCCCCACGGACCCTGACCCAAAGTGACGGAAAACAGAAACACAGGTGAACACAATTTCTAAATGCTTCTTTTACACTTACACTTTTAAGTCAGCCAGTGCTCATTTGTAAGGTTAAAGCAATATCTTCTTTGCGTGCAAAGTAAACAAAATGAGCAGTAGTACTGTTTAGCTTAAAGTCATTTAAAAAACATTTTCATATTTATTGAATAACTAAAATTAATTTAATGGACTACATATGGTCTTTAACAAAGATTTTCACTATCCCACTGAAAGTGCAGAAGATTTCTGTATGGAATCCAAGTTTTATTTCTCCAAGTGCCACTAAAATGAGGGTGTTTCTTCAAGACACTTACAAAGCTTTAGGGGTTTTAGGGGGAACAGAAGGTGGGGCAGGGGGAAGTCAGAGTTCAGGATAGACGGAGGCAAATTAACACTGAGCACTGGACTTTCCTTTTCTCAGAAGTTCCTTGGTTATGGCCGCCGGGGGAGCCTTCACGTACCTTTCCCTCAGCCCCTTCTTTTCTCCTGAGAACAATTGCTCTTCCCCTCACAGTCTCAGCAACCTTGAATTGCCAGGATGAAATATGCCCCAAACCATGATGCTTTATAACACTCGCTTTACCTCTTTGGATAAAAGCCCAGGGGCCAAAACGTGTCCATCGCCATATTTTCTTAAATTAAGGAGGCATTGTTACACAGAGATGAATTCTATGGGTCATGAATTTTTAATGGATTGCATTCAATCTTATCAATAAATAGGATAGGATAGGATAGGATACAATATCACTGCATAGTAGGAGTGAGTCCTGTTCTGTGAACTTTGTTATGGAGTAAAGACAGAGAGGAAGTACTCTTTCTCAGAAGACCAGCATGGAAGCAAAACCCTCATCCTGCCTTCCACTGGGGAGTCTTTGCTCAGCAAATCCATTCTGGACCTCCCATGTTGTATCAACTTCCTAGGGCTGCTGTAACAAATTAACACAAACTTAGTGGCTTAAAACAACTCTTTATCTTACAGTTCTGGAAGACAGAAGTCGGAGATGGGTCTCACGAGGCTAAATTCAAGGTGTCAGCAGGGCTGTGGTCCTTTGGAGGCTGTAGAAGGGAATCTGTTTCCTGGCCTCTCGAGTTCCTAGATGCCACTTGCATTCCTTGGCTCAGGGTATTTTCCTCCATTTTCAAAGCCAGCAGCACAGCATCTTCAAATCTCTGTGACCCTCCTGCCTCCATCTTAGAAGGACCCTGTAATGGCACTGAGCCCACCTGGGTGATCCCGGATAATCTTCCCTTCTCAGGATCCTTAATTTAATCACACCTACAGAATCCCTTTTGCCAGGTAAGGTGCGCTTTCACAGGTAGCCAGTCTACTCACTACCATAACTTTGAATTACTTATAAACAATATTTTAAGATATTTGTAATTTGAATGTGCTAGGAAACCATCTGATTTATCTTGGTGACAAAGCCTCGGAGACAGCTAATACTTCTGTGATCTGTTGTTTGCATTCATGATAGAAGGAAATACTATAGTTCAATCAGAGCTTAGTGAAATTAAAGATGTAAATGTTTTTCTGCCCAAGTTTACAGACATCCCCCCCCCCGCCCCCATCCCCGCTTTAAGGCCAACATAGAGCTGGCAAGATTGGGTGTCTGGCCCAGGCAGAGGGTTAGGTTCTTCAAAGGCAAGTCCTTTTTAAAAAAACTAATATATATGTAACATAAACTGTATCACCTCAATCACTTTTAAGTGTACGGTTCAGTAGTATTAAGTACATTCACATTGTTGTGCATCCAATCTCCAGAACTCTGTCCGTCTTGCAAAACTGAAACAATATACTCATTAAACAGTAACACCCATTCTCCCCTCCCGCAGCTTCAGGCAATCTCCTTCCTACTTGCTGTCTCTACGAATGTGATCATTCCAGGGACCTCCTGCAAGTGGCATCATGCAATGTTTGTCTTTTTATGACTGGCTTATTCACTTAGCATAATGGCCTCAAGGTTTCTCAATGTTGTGGCTTGTGTCAGAATTTCCTTTATTTTTAGGGCTGAGTTATATATATATCACATAGGACGTATTCTGTTTACCCATCCATATGTTGACGGACACTTGGGATGCTTCAAACATGGGTGTGCAAATATCTCCTGGAGACGCTGCTTTCAGTTCTTTGCAGGTTTGTAGCCAGAGGTGGGATTGCTGGACCGGGCAAGTCCTTTGAGCGGCGTGTCAGAGGGACGCTCAGCTCCACCAAGGTCAGTCGGCTTTCAAGCCAGGGTTACCGCTCCTGAGATTTGTGGTGGAGAGAAGGCTGCAGTCTCAGGGTGTCACAGAATTTAATAGAATTTACTCTATGAAGGGTCCTCAGAGTCCTTTCATACACCAACGAGAAAACTGAGGCCCTACCAATGACGTCACTTATCTAACCTGCACTATTTGTTTGAAACGACCCAGGAGCAGAACTTAGCCTGTGAAAGCTACCAAGTCCTGAGCCCACATGGGGGTAGGGAGTGGGGGCTGGGGAAACTCAACATGGCTACAGACACCACAGGCTGGAGGTGTCAGGCAGCCCGGAGCAGAGGGCGGTGCGGGCCCCGGTTCTGTGTAATGGACACCCCGCCCCTTGCCTGATAGGAATAGCCATACAACAACTGTTGCCCTAATGTTTCTGCGGAGCCAGCTGCTGTTCCTTTCTCTTTTCCAAATGAAGGTAAAAGTCAGAGACCCCTATGCCCCTAGCAGCCTCCTCAAGCCCTCTTCCGTACACGCCGTGAAAACACTGGCCCGTGTTCACGTCAGCTACTGGGGTGTGAAAATGCATCTGTCATTTGCACACCGACCTTGGATTTGAAGCTGTTTTTAAAGTGGATGATTCTAGAGACACACGCTACCCCAATTGTGTAAATCATTTCCTCTGTGCCACAAGTGCAAAAGGCATGATGACTGAGTGCATGAATCCTTCTCTCATAAAATGGAAGATTAATTTGCTTCTACACATTCTGTGAGCTGATGAAAAAGCTGGTTTTATACGCATAGCTTTGGCTGATGAACAAATTAGACGTTGAGAAATCATGCAAATGAGTAGTTTCCAGAGACTTTTGAAATTTTATAATCATCTCCCAGATCATGACAAAACCAAGTAATGATTAGAACAGATTTAAGGCAGCTAAAAGGAGGGTCCCTGCAATGTTTACTGACTTTCTCTCATCACATTTGTCATGTATTTTTGAAAACATCTTTGCACTTGAGCTTTTTGTTTGTTTATTAGATTATCTGCTACAATATCTTTGGGAGTTTTGTTGAACTTGAGGATTTACCACATTTGGTCAACTGTTTCTTTTCATGTGCTCTCTGAATGTAGAGAATGACAGCAACCAAAAAAAATATTGTCGGTTTGTTCTTCAGTTTTCACTGGGTTTCCAAATATAGATTTAGTTTAAATATTTATCAAATTGCGAAGTACTTGGCCCGGCAACTTTCAACCTTATCTCGTTTAACCTTCTAAAACCTTGCTCAGTAGGTCAGGGAGGTGGTTTGTCCAAGTCTCTGCCAGAAGTGACACACCTAGGAGTTAAAGCCCGATTCTCTTTTCTGAGTGTAAGCACAAGAGCCTTCCATGTATGCTAAGCAGAGTCCCTTCTAATTCTAAAAACACAATGGACTATTTCATCAGCGTGATCACAGGGACCGTTTCTGTGATACAGAAGACACATCCATTACAGAACATATCCGGATCCATGTGCATGGTTACTGTACAGTTTCCTGCGTAACTGAAGAGCCTTTTCCCCCATCCTAACCTTGCTCTCTCCTGTTCTCACCAGGCACTGCTTTTGGGCTGTGTGAATGGATGCTTTGCTAAGCTGTAACCCACCCAGCAAAACGTTCTGGCTAACAAGAATGCCTTCCCTTCCCGTGTGTGGTTTCCGCCACACTCTGCCCAGAGTGAGAGCGTGCCCTGCAGAGGAGGCCCTGGCACGTGCCCTGCTGGGACCCAGGGCACACTTGGTATACAGCATGCTGGCCAACTTTCCGCATATGTGCCAGGAACATAAGACCGCTTTTGGAAAAGGAACAGCAGCCAATTGTTTGGACTTGGTTCCTTCTTTCCTTAGAACAGAGGTTGTCAAACGGTGTTCCTGGAAGCCACCCCTCACCCCCTAATCCCACTAGCACTGGGCTGGGGTCTGAGTTCACTGGCTCGCCCACCTCCCCTCCCCCCATCTTAGCTCCCTTTGCATAAAAGCTCCCCTTTTCTCTTAATACAGAGGGTGCCAAAGAAATGTATACACATTTTTAAGAAAGGAAAAAAACTGTATTAAAATTGTAATTCTCCATATATACCGATAACAAAAGATGAATACAAGTCACATTTGACTTCTGCAATTACAAGAGGTCCTCAAAGTGGTTCCCATCAGCATAATTTTAATACAGTTTTTTCCTTTCTTAAAATGTGTAAACACTTTTTTGGCACCCTCTGTATATGAGGTTCCCTATTAGCTTCACTTTGGGGGAAATTAAAAAGCAAGAAGCATGGGTATAGGGCTTCTAAATATAATACCTTCTAGGTATTTAAATATTTCCTAGGCCCGTGCCACACCTGCATTACTTTCCGCTGGGGCCTTTTTGCTCTGCCCACCATGGCAGGAGAGAGAGCAAAGGGAAGGCGTGGGTGGACATTTGCTTTCCTTTTTGACACCTCCCTCCCATTCTGTTGGGTTGTCGGAACCACCGCACTGTATTTCTGAAGCTGATGTTGAATAATATTGTATGTCAACTATAATTATATATATACATATAGTCACGGGACGTGGAGTAGAGAGTGGGAATGGAGTCAATGGAATTGTAATAGATAAGCATGATATCGGGGTGGGAGGGCAATAGAGGGGGAGAGGGGGTTGTTACTTTGTGAAGGTGAAAAGGATAACTATTGCATTGTTCTGTACACCTGAAACTAACAATAAAAAATTAAAAAAAAGAATATACATGAACTATGTATAATATACAGTAGTTCTCTACCCTGGAAAAAAAAGTCATGCTGCATTTTTGCAACAAAAAAACGTAGGAAAATACGTCATGACTTTTCTGACAGCCCAATAGTTCTTTTCCCTCCTTCCCTCCACCCAGAGCGCAGAGAGCCCATCAGAACACAGGTTGGAGGGCGGCGAACTATAGCCTGTGCACCAAACCTTCTCCGTGGCCTGTTTCTGTAAGGCTGGGGAGGTAAGAATTATTTTTTATATTTTAAATGTTTGGTTTTTTTTTTAAGTCAAAAAATGACTATTTCATAACAGGTGGAAGTTGCACAAAATTCAAATGTCAGTGTCTCAATAAAATGTTATCAGAACACACCCACGCCATTGGTGTTGCGTGCGTCACCTCTGGCTGCTCTCACACCACAGGGTAGTTACATGGCACAGACCACACTGGCCTGCGAAGCCTAAACTACTCATGACCAGGCCCCGTGCAGAGAGTTTGCTGACCCCTGTGGTAGCATTAGAGGGGTCTGCCTACTTGGGGTGGGGTCTCCAGAAGACGTTGTCATAACAGCAAACCTCTAGTGGTAACAGACCATGAGAAATCACAGGAAAACAGGGACCAAAGTCAGGGAGTCCTTAATCCTGCCTGTGGCGACAGCTGTCCCTGTGGGGACCTGTGAGGACATAGTGAAGGGGCAGCAAAGTAAATACAGAGCCTCTTATTTTGACGCCCATGGGAGCGAGGAAACAGGAATTGTATGAATATGCCAACAGTATACATCAACCGTTGGCAACGCATTTCTAAATGTCATTGGTATGTTGTAGCAGCCAAGTATTTGAAGCGGCTGTGCAACCAAGGAGAGCTTACTGCGCATCACACAACGCTGGACAGAGCTTGGAGAGTGGCTTAGAAGGACACTAATTTGGCACCCCTCCAAACCAGTATTTGCTAAATGTTTAATGTATGTAGATGCAAAGCTAGGCTGTCCCAGGAGGGGAGGGAAAAAAAAAAGGTGCCTTGGGGATATCTTGAGCCAGCCCTTGTGTCTCTTCTTCATGGCAGTTCAGCCCTGTCCCAAACCTGCATCTCCCACTCAGCAAAACTAAAGCTCTAGAACAGCGGTTCTCAACCTTCCTGATGCCACGACCCCTTAATACAGTTCCTCATGTTGTGGTGACCCCCAACCATAAAATTATTTTCGTTGCTACTCTATAACTGTAATTTTGCTACTGTTATGAATCGTAATGTAAATATCTTTTTGTTTTCCGATGGTCTTAGGCGACCCCTGTGAAAGGGTCATTCGACCCCCAAAGGGGTCGCGACCCACAGGTTGAGAACCGCTGCTCTAGAAGGACCTGGAAACCACCCTCCTCAGAACACAGTGCGGTGACCATCTTTGGGCTTCTCGCCTCCCCGCCCCCGACCCCGTTCAGTTGGAAGCCTTCAGAAGCCAGCTTTGACAGGAGGATTTGAGTGCAAGGCATTGATTTGGGAGGTGATCCCAGGAAGCCCCAGAAGGACTGTTGGGAAGCAAGATGAGGAAAAGGAGGAAGCCAGTATGGGGGGGGGGGCTCCTGAGAAGGGTGCTGCTGGAGGCAGCTGGGGCTCAGCCCCCCGGGGCCACTAAGAGACGGCATAGGGTTCAGCTCAAAGTGGTCTCTGCTCCCCATGGGTGGGGAAGAGAGGTGTTTGTCCACCAGTTCATTGGTTAAGGGCTGTTCTCCGAGGCATCAGTTCACCGACATTTCAAACCCAGCACATCCCTACGGTCCAAGAATCCCTCCCGCTGGCTCCCAGAGGGAAACCAAAGAACCCGAGCTTCCCACAGAGAAAATCCACCTGTGTTTGGGAGGTGAGGCTACCGCAAAGGGAAAGGCACCGCCATGTTCTCCACACCCTTCTCCAGACACCGAGCAGCCCCTGCGAGGATGCTGGGAACTGTGTTCTCCACCCCGGTTCTTCTGCAGGGTGTTTTGTGTCCCTGGCAGTTGGCTGCTTTGGAGGCCACTCCGCTGTTCATCCTCTGACCATCTCTGGGGCTACAGGAAGGGGAAGAGGGTCTCGGAACTGGGGAGGAGGCGTTGAGGCAGAAGAAGGAATAGCAATGGTGCCTCAGGTGGGGGGTGGGGTAGGTGGGGCTCCCCTGGCACAGCCACCAACTTCCTGTCACCTGGAGTAAAGGACTCCCTCGCCTGAACTTCCGTTGCCTGATGTGAAAAATGTCAGGTGGATCACAGCACCTGTAGGTCAGTGTGTCTCAAACTTTAATGTGCACACAAATCACCTGGGATTCATAGAAACACAATTTCCGATTCAGTAGATCTCAGGTGGGGCCTGAGATGCTGCACTTCCTACAAGCCCAGGGGAAGCCATTGGTCTCGCCTGCCGAGTAGCCCGGCTGCCGTGGACCTGCCCACCGAAACTCTCTGGTTAGCCAGGATGGCACAGGGATGAGGCCTTACAACTTACATAGCTGTTAGTGGAAATATTTTTGTTGTTGCATTTTTTAATCCTTGCTATTAGATTTCTCTCTAAAACATTTTAGACCGCAGCCCTATTTTAGGAAGCCCAATGTATTTACGAAAACCGAAGCAGTTTCTAAAAGTTTCTTGGAAATGAATGCAATCCCCATTTCTTCCCCCGAAAAGGCATTTCTCCGGGACCCTGAAGGCTCTGCTTGTGCCCTTATGCTGTACCGCCTGGCCTGGTTACGACAAGCACAAAGTCACTCCCGGGTTTACAGGGTAAAACGTCCTAGGTGGGGCGAGGTGGGTGTTCTAGCCAGTTCTTGCCCCCCAGACCTGGAGTAGAACGTCATGGTCCTTGACTTCTGACAGCAATTCTGGCCCTGGGCAGGTCACCCGCCTCTGGGGTGCGGAGGTGCCAGCAGACGGGACCACAGCCTGGCTCGCTCTGACCCACACCGCCCTTTCTGGAAACGATGATGGGCCCAACCAGCCCTTGTGTGTGATGTCAGCACGCCAGACCTGCACACAGCACCTGCAGACGGCTCCTGTTTACGGATGAGATAGCAGAGGCTTAAAGCTAGCCTCAAGTCACCCAGGGGTCAATGGCAGAGGAAGCAGTAGGACAGTGCCTGGTCCACCGCCCTCCGCAAAGACCCACTCAGCCTAAGCATAAGCGGAACTTGCAGGCGCCAGTCCACTTGATTCCAATCCTGGCCCTGCCATTGCTAACTGTAGGGCTTGGGCGCATTCTTCCTCATCTTCAGCCCTTGGCTTCCTTTCCTGTAGAACGGAGCCCCCAAAACACCTACTACATATAGTATTATGATTATGTTCCCGGGTATTGACCTCACCTGCAATCTTATTAGTAACATCAGTTACTAATGTAATTTACACACATGCAATTACAATGTTTCTTTGTAAAATAAATAAATAAATAAATTTACATTTGATCTCAAACTCAAAATACATCTGAATTTAGGTTAAATATGCCCTCTGCAATCTTATGTTATTTTCCAAGATATATACATTCAGAGGCTAAGTTGGGGGTTAGCATAAAAATGGGGCCAGTTAACCTGTCCACAAATGTTTCCTGAGCACCCGCAGATTGGGGACACCGCGGTAAATGGGATAGGAAAGCCACTTCCTTCTCGGGGCGGTCAGGGTGGACAGAGGTAAGTGAATACTTGCTCATCACTAATTAACTCACTTCGAGGGTGTGCTCCCGTGGGCTTGAGGTAAGTTACACTTTACGTCGGCTTCAGTGTCTGCGGCCCAAGGGTCTGGGCCAGATTCCCGCTTTCCTTTCCCCCAGGTTCATGTGTTCATTACCTGAGCTGCCCTGTGACCTTGACCTTCGTTGGCAGGGTGAGCGGAAGCTCCAGGGACAGGCTTGAGGAGAAGAAGAAGATTGAGTTTTAGCAAATGACAGGGTCATTAGTTTGTTTTGAAGAGAGGGAGTAAACGTTTACAGAGGCAGAGAGCCGAAAAGCCTCTGACGACAATGGTGATTTTCTGAGGCTCAGTGGGAAGAGGTGGGGAGAGGGAGAGACGCAGTGATAGGTAGACTGGCCTAAAACCTCGAGAGAAAAACAACACGACTAAGGGGGGCATTTCATGAAATTTTACTACATGACGTGTGATTTTTACTAAATGTATGGCATTCTATTCTTTCCATGGGAAATCAGTAAAATCTACCTTTCTTGCACATGCACTGGGTCCAGATGTGGGTTTTTTCATTTTGGGTGGGAGGTGCGGAGACTGGGTCCTCCCACAGGCACGAGTGTCAGGTGGGGTCGGAGCAGGGCTGCCAGCCTCGCTGTGCTTGTTCTGCAGCCCCATCCACCAGCGCTGGTCTTGAGGGAACCACATGTCCTTTCG